ATTGGGGGTAATTGCCAGAGCCCTGACAGCTAGCCAGCTGACTCTGAGACACATAATTCATTGTCACCCTTGACCCTGTGTTTCCACCCACCTACCCCCTGGGTGTATCGTAATTCATATTCTCCAATGGGACCTAAGTGAGACAATTGGAAAGAGAATTTTTGCCTCATTTGATGCCCTTTCTTGCCACAGATGTTAAGTGAATAACTGCGGGGGGGTTAAGTTAGTAGCACGGTCCTGACAGACAATCCTCGACGTCCTATCACAATTGAGCTCAAAATTTATGTTGCTAAGCAAGACTCTGTTGTTAAGTGAGTTTTGTCCCATTTTGCCACCTTTCTGGTCACTGTTGTTAAGTGAATCACTGAGTTGTTAAGTTAGTGACACAGTTGTTAAGTAAATCTGGCTTCCTCGTTGACTCGGCTTGTCTGAAAGTAACAAAGGGGGAATCACACAACCCCAGGACACTGCAACCATCATAAATATGAGCCAATTGCCAAGTATCCAAATTTTGATTGCATGAGCATGGGGATATGGCAATGTCATAAGTGTGAAAAATGGTCATAAGAGTGAAAGACGGTCATTAGTCACGTTTTTCAGTGCTGTTCTAACTTTGAACGCTCACTAAACAAACGAACAAATGAATGAATGAATGAATGAATGATTGAATGAATGAATTCTTTATTGGCCAAGTATGATTAGACACAGAAGGAATTTGTCTTGGTGCAAGTGCTCTCAGTGTGCATAAAGAGAAAAGATACACTCGTCAAGAATCATAAGGTACAACACTTAATGGTTATAAGTCAAGGACTATCTGTAGATGTTTTCAGGATGTTTTCAGCCTGTTTTTATAGATAATAATGGAAGGAAAAATAGTTTTCATATGGGAAGAGATAAATAGGAAGTGCTTTGAGAAGGAAGTGGTTGAAACAAAAGTGCTTTTTCCAAAAAGCAACTGCACTTTCTGGGTTTTTTCCCCCTTTGAAAACATTTCACTTCTCATCGAAAAAGCTTCTTCAGTTTTAACTGACTGGTGGAGAACGGAAGGATTTATATTCCTTGCTGTCATCTGGTTGTTAGCTCTCTGAGAATCATTGAGGCCACTTATCTGTATCCTCAGAATCACACGAATCGGAGTGCAAATCTGTGTGGGAACTTCTTGGCATTTCTGAAAGGAATATAAATCCTTCCATTCCTCGCCAGTCAGCTAGAGCTGAAGAAGCTTCTTGCATGAGAAGCGAAACGTTTTCAAAGGAAAAAATGAAAACAAAAAGTCCAGTTGCCTTTTTGGAATTCGCTCACAGACGTTTCATTACCCAACTAGGTAACATCATCAGTGCAGGGAGGGTGTTACTTAGGTAATGAAATGGTTGCACGCAAACAAGAAGTTCAGAGAGACCAAGGACTCCACACTTCAACCCTGAGTTATATGCAGTGGTGCAATTCAACCGGTGTAAACAACTGGTTCAGTGATTGTGCACTTTGCGCGTGTGCACACCATTTAAAAAAACCCCCATTTTCAGCTATAATACTTATATTCTACTGCAGCCCCGGTGAGTAAAATGGCTGAAGCACAGCAAAACCACTCTGCCACGCACATCAGCGGTGCTCCAAAACTAGGAAATAAAGGACAGGGAAGATCAGGGGCAGGTGGGTGGGGCCAAATAATCACCGGAACAACCAGTTCGCTCGAACCGATCTGAACCGGTAGAATCCCACCCCTGGTGATACCTATTCTCTTCTATCACTCTATTTCCCAGCCCCATGGACCTCTAAAGGGAGATACTGTAGGCCTTTCCATGAAATACAAAAGCATCAAAAGGCAAGACAATGGATGGGAACTGAGGAGGAGGACCAAGAAGAGAAGCAATCTAGAACTAAGGAGGAATTTCCTAACGGGGAGAGCAATCAACCCATGGAATAACTTGCCTTCAGAAGTTGTGGGTGCTCCATCACTGGAGGTTTTCAAGAAGAGACCGGACATCCCAAAGGTGTTTTTTTCAAGAGGCAACTGGACTTTCTTGTTTGGTTTTTTTCTTTTGAAGATGTTTTGCTTCTCATCCAAGAAGCTTCTTCGGCTCTGACAGGATAGCGGGGAATGGAAGGATTCATATTCCTTGCAGACAGAACTGGTCATTTGCATCCTTTCAGAGGGTCATTGAGGCCACTTGGAGGTTTATCTGTGTCCTCAGGGTCACCTGAATAGTGCTCCTGGTTCCTTTAGTCTGCAATTTTTCCCCGCTCTGGAAATCCATTCCTACTCCCACACCATTCCAAGGGTGTCCACCCCAAAGTGTATAGCTAAAAGTCTGTAAAGATTCTCAGTCATCCAAATCATGGTTGTCCCATTTCAGGAGGCAACTGGACTTTCTTGTTGTTGTTTTTTCTTTTGAAGATGTTTTAAAGGAACTTCTTGGATGAGAAGCGAAACGTCTTCCAAAGAAAAAAATGGCTAGGGTCTGAAATGGTATAAGTTCTCAAGCAGGGGTTTGGCTAGAAGACCTCCAAGGTCCCTTCCAACTCTATTAGCCTATGTCACTCTATGTTAAAGGAATCCATCATCCCTGACTTCATAATCTCCATCTTCTGGATGTAACAATATAGTCAGCTCAGTTGTGTTCATAAATAGTCATCATGCACTGCTCAAATCCTTAACAGATCCCTTAACAACAATGCAAGTTAAAATGTGTATATGTGTGTGTGTGTGTGTGTTTGTGCACCCAACAATCAGGCATTATTGGATGATAATGACAAGCAATGATCCTAGACTTCTTTATTTTTATTATACTGTTCACAGCAGTCAAACTGGAATGATGTAATGAGAGACTGCAGGGGGAATGTATCTGGCATACGCTTAACAATAGTGATCTAAATTTTTGCTTTTGTTTGTTGCGCTTCTCCACTCAGGCAAAGTCCTTCATCTTAAACACACAGGCACGCACGCACACAGGCACACAGACACAGAAGTTTCTGTTGGAAAAGAGAGATGTCAGGCATATGTTTGGTGAGAAGAAACAGCTGCAGCTGCTGTGGCTCAGAAACAGTTGTGTTATATATCGGTTATTCCAAAATTCAACAACTGGTTATTATTTTTTTTGCCCTAAAAGCCTGCGTGAAAGAGTGGATCAAAGAATTCAATATTAACAATAACAATAACAATAATACAGTCGTTCACCCATTTTTTTTTTCCTTTCAGGGGAAAATTATATGTTAGCGTTAAAAGAAATATCCGTCTGGTTCAGTTCCAATCTGGGAGAAAGGCACTGGAGACAAAATAGAGGCTGGAGGCTGACTGGAAAGATGGTTTAATGATGAAACAGAACCACATATCTGGGGTTCTGGTGCAACTGACCATACGGAGTTGAGAGTGAGGGGTATTTATACCTTCTCTTGGGCTCTGCACTTGAGCTTCCTGTTCCTGTGCAAGAACATGTATTTATTGGCTGTTGTAGGGGTTATGTAGGGGTCATCGCTGGCTCAATAGGTTGTCTGAGCTAAGTTTGGTTGAAGTTTCTGAGGGTGATGCAATAATTAATGGTTTTTCCCTGTTTTGGCTCTTGAGTGAGGACTATTTTCTTATGAATAAAGCTACCTAGTTACTTGGCTTCTTTCAATGAGTTCTTTATCTCTTAAGTGCTGACATCTGCTGTGGGTTATTAAGGAAGGTGGGGACTGCTTTCTAAGAGTATGTTTCTCCATTTCTCATCCAGGGAAATATAATATTCTGCCTTTTTAATATTTCTCAAAATATTTCATTCTTCTAAGATGGGGGGTGGTGGCTTCCCACATTAGTACAAATTGCTTGCATAAAATGACAGTGTCAGTGTTCCTATGAAACTCTCCATTTCATTCCGCATTCAGAAACAAAGTTTATCAAAGTCAGAATTTATTGAAAAAGTCATATTGGCACATTTTGGAAAACCCAAATCTGAAAGTTCTGGGTTTTCCCTTCCCAACTGAAAATTCAAAACCCATCCCCTGCGCCCATGAGTCCATCACGTGGCCCAATCAACCATCGTCCCAACTGGAGACATTCCTCCATCCATTCCTCTCCAAGTGCAGGGTAACATGTCCTTGACTCTATGAGAAGAATGTTGTTGAGTCTAATCTTCCATCTCTCTATGAAATCCCCTTCCCATTTTCCCAGGCACTAAATGTGGCACCGTCAAAGCTTCTAAATAAAATATTAGTTAATTTATTTGTTTGTTTGTCAAACACGTACAAGATAACAAGTATAAGTATGAACATAAACAAGAACAAAAGGAATAAATCAGGGGTGGGATTCAAAATTTTTAATAACCGGTTCTGTGGGCATGGCTTAGATGGTGGGTGTGGCTTGGTGGTCATGTGACTCGGTGGACATGGCCATGTTATTGGCTGGGTGTGGCTCAATATCACTCACATCGAGGCTCGCATCTCCTCCCCTGGCCTCTCATGACTGTGGGGATGCTGCAACAGTCGTAAGTGTGAAAAATGGTCATAAGTCACTTTTTTCAGTGCCATTGTAACTTTGAATGGTCACTCCACACAAGCAAAGTACCAGCAAAGGAGGGGAAAAAAACTCCAGAGATATTCCTGAGACAGGAAGTCTAGTCCTGCCAAGAATGTAATAAGGGTTAACGGAGAGGAAGTTTTTGTAAGCAACACCAGAATGTTTCCTTCCTGCCTTCCTTACAGGATTAGGCCAGTATTCTTCTAACAACCGGTTCTCTGAATTGCTTAAAATGTTAGCAACCGGTTCTAGTGAATAGGTGAGAAATGGTAGAATCCTACCCCTGGAGTAAATTCAGATAAATGGGGACAGTAAGACAGGGACGGTAGGCATGCTGGTGCGGTTATGTTACTTAGTTTACTTTATTGTCACTGCACCTCGTACAACAAAATCAAACACCATCTTCAGTGCACATCATGACCATGATCATGAAAATAAACACAAACCCACATCCTTCACTCTCCACACATTGAACTGAAAAACCCCAACACCACACAACACTGCACTATGCAGCAGAATTCAAAAGAGCTACTGCCCTGGGATAGAAGATGTTTTTCCGCCAATTTGTCTTTATTTTTATTATTCTGTACCATCTGCCAGATGGTAATAGTTGAAACAAAGGGTTCTCAGGATGAGATAGATCTCTGAGAAAGTTTTGAACTTTCTTAAGACAGCAGGAGCTATAAAGCTCTATTATGCACACCCCCTTTAAGGACCTCTTAAGAACAGGGTGAATTCCATGGTAGATAATTTGAGGTTGAAGCTGCAAGGTGTTGAGGCTGTGACAACGGACTCAGGTAGTCAATGCATTCCAGGTGTTGACCACTTTGTTGCTGAAATCGTATTTTCTGCAATCGAGTGGTTTATCTTGAGTTTGTATCGGTTGTTTGCCCGTGTGTTATTGTGGTTGAAGCTGAAGAAGTTGTTGACAGACAAGATGTTATAGCAGACAATTTTGTGTACTATGCTTAGATCGGACCGCAGGCGGTGCAGTTCTAGATTGTCCAGGCCCAAAATTTCAAGCCTGGAGGCTGAGGGAATTCTATTGTGAGTAAAGAAGTAGAGTCTTCTTCTTGAGAAATACCTCTGAACTCGCTCAATCGTGTTAATGTCTGATGTACAGTGCGGGTTCCAGGCAGATGAGCTGTATTCAAGGATTGGTCTGGCAAAGGTTTTGTATGCCCTAATTAGCAAGTCAATGTTGTCAGAGAAGAAACTTTGCAAAATAAGGTTAACAACGCTTAATGCCTTTTTGGCAATGCTGTTACAGTGAGCTCTGGGGCTTCGATCATTGGCTTCCAAGGCTGACAGACAGGGTGTATATAAGGGAGGCAGGGACAGCTGCAACAGATCGTTCTGACAGAAATAAGGAACACGTTCTACAGCAATGTTCTTCATAGATAGATAGGTTCTCTGCTAACACTTGCCAAAGTCAAGAGGATGTTGTGTCATAGCCACCCAAATGCCCACAGCATCTCCCTTTGGAGCAATGGTTGAAGAGAGTCTGAGAAACAGAGTTAAAGAAAAATCACTTGAGTCTTATTCTCAGAATTGAAGGAAGGAGACATCTTGACTTCTGAGAATCAATAAAATCTTCAAAGAAGGAAACATTGGTCCAGCCTTAATAATAGATATTTAAACATAACATTTGAATTTGGGATTTGAGGATTAGTTTGCGCTGGATTAGAGAAATGTGGTAGATTTTTAAAGATAAGAGATTGGGCCAGATGTAATAACAGAGAAGAATAGACTAGACTAGACTAGACTAGACTAGACTAGACTAGACTAGGCCAGGCCAGGCCAGGCCAGGCTAGGCTAGACTAGGAATAGAGAATAGAGAATAGAGAATAGAGAATAGAGAATAGAGAATAGAGAATAGAGAATAGAGAATAGAGAATAGA